AGGTTTTAGATGGTGTGTTCGTCAAATTGCACACGGCTTCAAAAGATAGTTAACACACAGGATGACAGGATTAAGATACAAAAAGATCTTGACATGCTGGGCACTAGACTGAATTGAAGATGAAATTCAATAGGGATAAATGCAGTCTTATAATTAGGTGCAAAAAGTCAACTTCACAAGTAGAGAATGAGAAAAACATAGTTAGCAGTTTGTCTAAAAAAGATCTGGGGGCTTTAGTGAATTGCAAACTCAATGAGTCAGCAGTATGAAGTGGCAGCCAAAAAGGCTAATGCAATCTTGGGCTGCATTAAGAGAGGCATGGTTTCCAGGAATAAGGTGTCCAACAGCTCTGTTCTCTGCCCAAAGCTAGACTACATCTAAAGTACTGTATTCAGTTCTGGGCACTACAGTTTAAGAAGGAAATTAGTAAGCCAGATAATGGTGACAGGCCTTGAGACTACGTTATATGAGGATTAGCTGAAGGAACTAGGAACATTTATTTAGTCTAAAGAAGACTCTGGGAGGACAGGATAGCTGTAACAAGTTATTTCAAGTTCCAACTCATCACATGGAAAAAGAATTAGACTTGTTCTATTTGGCCCCAAAAGGCAGGACCAGTAACATTGGGTAGAAGTTCCTAGAGGTAAATTCAGGCTTGATGTCAGAAAACTCTCCTATTAAAAATTAGAGTGGCTCAAAATTGGAATAGGCTGCCAAGAGACACGGTGATATTGGAGGTCTTCAAACACTGGATAACCACTATGGTAAGTTACAGTGAGGATGCCTTTTGAGTATGTGATGGACTAGCTAGCCACTAAGGCCCCTGTCACACATCAAATTCTGTGAAAAATTCATCTTAGTAAGAAAACCATTTCACCTCTGCAGATACTACTAAAAGTACTTTGAGCTGCATGGTTACTTTTCATCATGTGAATTTTATTTTATAACCATTATCATTTGGGAAATTCAGACTTACTATTCTTCAGCAGGAGACAAGAGGCAGCAAGCTAGGTGGTGAAGTAAGAATGCTGGGCCTGGAGTCTGGAAAACTGAAGTTCCAATCCAGCCTCATACACTTATTCCCAGTAACCCTGGACACTTCAGACACTTACTCACTGTGTGACCCTGAGCAACTCAATTTCCGTTTAGCTCAGTTTCCTCAACTGAAAAGGAGATAATAAAGCAACTACCTAGCAAAGTTGTTGTGAAGATCAAATGATGTAAAGTGTCTGGCACAGAGTTGGCACTTTATAAATGCTCATTCCCTTCCCCTAACCCCACTCCTCATCTGGTGTGAATACTGCAAAAATACTCGAAACTAAAATGGGCATTTGGTTACAATTTTGGGGGTACCACATCCACAAATTCATCAGGATAGGAATTCCTAGTGTAGAAACTCCTTCTATCAATGCATATTTAAAACTGTTCTGTAACTTATAGCTTGTGGCACTAAGATTTTAAATTACACAAAAATATCCCAAACTACTTTCTATATAGTTCTTTAAAAGTTACTACCCAAAGGGGCAGCTAGGTGGTGCAATGGATAGAGCACAGGCCCTAGATTCAGGAGGACCTGAATTCAAATCAGGCCTCAGACACATAACACTTACTAGCTGTGTGACCCTGGGCAAGTCACTTAACCCCATTGCCTAGCCAAAATAAATAAATAAATAAAAATAAAGATTAAAAAAAAAAGTTAAATACTCAAAATAGATTTTACAGATCACGTTAATTTAAATCACTAATCATAAAGAATCAATTTAATACATTTTGTCTACAAAATATTCATTCTTATTGAATACAATCTTAAGATTATATAATCTTTATAATTCAGAATGACACTGGTTTTATTTTTACAAAGTAAATGGTATACATGGCAAACCATTTAACTGGATTTTAAGATTGCTTATGCAACTACATCAGCGAGCTGAATGGTTATTTTATATACTAACTAAAATACATTGCTTGTGAAGTTACTGAGAAGTTCAACCATCCAATGGAAAACATCATTAGTGACTTGACTATTGAAGAACCATCAGACAATTATCTCCAAAAGCAAGACATGCACATTACTTTTAACTAAGAGAGTAATCCTGTGTATTCTAAAACTTAAATGTTTATTTTAACAAAGTATTCTAAATTTTTAGTAATTTTACCCAGAAATTATTTTGATTAAAATAAAAACTAAGTGAACTATTTCACCCAGATCAACAGAAACATTTAAAAATCTCATTATCAGTTTATATAACTTAAGTCTTCTTTTTTACTCATAAAATGAGGACAAGCTTTCTTACTATTATTTCCTTAATGATTCCTTTATTTTAGAATTAATGCAAAGAAAACATTACTTCTATACCTACAAAACTTGCTACTAAAAACTGGATTACCACTTCAGTAGACTCTGATAAACCCCAAAAGTTTATATAATTTTAAAGATCATACTTTTTGAAAGTGCTCAGAAAACTTTTTTCTGAATGGTTCACCCTTCACCCTGAAAACGTATATATCTAGTGTTACATAGTTACACATAAGTATAGAAGTGATTTACATATTGTACCTATTGCATGATCATTTATGATCTTTGAGATTTTAAAAGCATATACCCTTTAAAATGCTTGTCATTAAAAAAAAAGCAGTCAAGTGACTTAAATTCTTATTTACACTATCATCTATTCTTCACCTGTCATAATACCTAAAAATAAACATTTCAGATGCCAAATAAATAAACACATAGACTCTCTTCAGGCTCATAATATTCATTACATTAGACAGCAAAGTTTTCTAACCACCATATTTAGCAAATAGTCAAAAGGATCCGCCAAGCCTCTGGTACATACTGGCTTTGTGATCCTGGTTAAGTCATTTAACTTAACAATTACAATTGTTCTAAACTAAGATTATAAATTCCAGATAAGTGACCTACACTGGTAGAAGGTGTTTCCTCACTTGGGAATTCCCTATTGCAAAGAAATCACAAGCCTAGCTCCTAACTCTATCCTATTACTAAAAATAAAAACTATCATGAAACCACTAAACTTAACAATAGCAGGATTTAAAGGGCACCACTGACACACTGGCAGATTGAAGAAAGTAATGATCCATCCCAAATGAGATCACTGGATTAATTATATTCTGTGCTACCATAAACAAGCTAGAAGCTGGGAGAGAAATGTCCAAAAGATACTTCTTCAATAGATTTTCTTCTCAGTTTTTTCACTGACTATTCATTGACTACTTATTACATAAAAGGCACTATGCTAAGTTACAAAGAAGTCCAAAAGAGTCCCTGTCCTCAAAAAGTTTAAACACTAGATAAATGATGATGAATAGTATATGATAAATGCTGAATAGCTGTACAGACAATGAGGGCCATAGGCATTCAGAGGGAGGAAATGAGGGGAATGGCTATAAGCTTCAGTACCCATGGAGAAAAAGCTACATAGACTGTATTCAAGAAAGCTGTGTTTTCATCTCATTTCTGACAGGTGCCAGGGCTGTGATCCTACCAGTCAAGTCACTCTTCATTTCTCTGAGCCTCAGTATGCTTATTCATAAAACAGAGATGGGAATTGTGCTACCTACCTCAGAGAACTGTTTTAAAGACAGTACTCTGCAAAGCTTAAAGCACTACACATGCATTAACAAATGATAATACACAAAGTAGGACACAAAGTAACATCTCAAAAGATGATGTATATTCTACATTGGAAGAGAATATAACTATAGTCTGCTAATTATGACAAAGTTCTTTAGACACTAGGACTTAACTGGGACTTTAAAAGTCAAGTAAGTAGTTCAATTCCATTTTACTATTACTACTAGCCTTTAAAAAACTACCACGAAAGAGCAGAGAGGCATTTCTGAGGATGCAGGAAGCAGGAAAAAGCAAATATTAGGCCTGGTCTGACTGATACATAGACACTGGCAGTGGACTCACTGGTGCTTGTGTCCTCACACGTGATCTCAAAGACAGGTAGAGAATTGAACAGGGGCTTGTGTTTAACAGTCACTTTTCTGGTTTCGGTCGTTTAAATATATTTATGCAGAATTCAGCGAGAGCAGGATAAGACCGATGGTAGGTTGTGGGATTAACGCCAAGGAAACAAGGTGCCACATGTCAGCAGACTGAGTGCCCAACACAAAGGGTAAAGTGCATCGCCTCCACTACATCTTGACCAAAGAGAAATTAGCTTGCTAAGAACTAGCTCACTCTTAAGCACTTAAAGAGTTTTCCATTTCTTTACCTTCCATTTAAAAAACCCCATTTCAGGAAAAAGAAAAGCACCCTCCCACCCCCCTTTTAACTACATCCCAGAGTATTGTGCCCCTTACTGAAACCCTGAAGTGTTCAGAAAACAGACAAGGACCCCAATCTAAAGACTTCCTCCCTGTCCCCTGCTTTTTCCCTTCTCTGGGTCTTCTTCCTCACAAACTCTCCTCTCAAAGTTTTCCGCTTTCTTCCAAGGTATTATTTTCCTTTCCTAAAGTTTCTTTCACCCCTGCCTCTGAACTCTCCCTAGTTACTCCACTGTTCCCAGCCTTCCTCCTCCAGTGTCACCCCAACCAGACAGCTTTACCTACTGCTTTCTCCCACTGCCCCGGGGGTCCTAGCCTCACCTAAAAAGAAAACCACAACACTCAATTCTCAAAACATTCCTCCCTTTTCCCGGCTGCCCCCCTCCCCTAAACCTTCCTAAATCCCTCACCAACCCCGTCCATCAAACCCTACCTTCTTGGCTCCTGCCCAGAACAACTCCCCGACTTTCCCCCCCACTTCCCCCGCCCAGCCCCTCTTCGCCCCCGGCTCAAGCCCCAGCTCCTCCCAGCTCAGGCCCCTCACCCCCTCTGCCCGGCTCCCCGCCTGCCCGGGACCCATCCCTCGGCTTCCCCGCCGCGGACTCTGCCCTGGCCCGGGCCGGGCTGCCGGCTCCGCCGTTCCTCCCGGGGCCCCTGCCCGCTCCGTCCCGTCCCGCCTGGGGCGGGCGCGCTGCCGGGCTCACCAGTTGGTCATGTCCAGGAAGAAAGCGCAGCCGGCCGGGTTGAGCTGGAAGCCGAGCAGCCGCTGGAACTCGGAGATGAGTACGTCCTTGTCCGTGGTGCCCAGGCAGCTGAACTTCTGCATCAGCTCCGGGTCCAGGTCTACGTCCATGCCCTCCATGGCGGGGGCAGGACACCCCTACCGCCCAGACCACCACCACCGCCGCCGCCGCCGCCGCCGCCGCCGCCGCCGCCGCCGCTGCTACAACCGTGCCTCCCTCCGCCGCCGCCGCCGCCGCTGCCGCCGCCGCCGGGCGCTGCTCCCCCGGCTCCACCCCCCCCGCCCCCCGGAGCCGAGCCCGAGCCCGAGCCCGCTCCGCCCGGCTGAGGTAGGTAGGTAGGCCCCGGGCCTCTCACCGCTTCATGGGGGCAAAGTCTCGCTCGCTCTCGTTCTCGCTCTCACGCTCCGCGCTCGCCCCCGCCCCCACCCCCCGCCGCGGCCGCCGCCTCCTCCTCCTCCGCCTCCCCCCCTCTTCTCCAGACCTCCGCCTCCACCTTCTCCTTTCCCTCCTCCTTCCGCGCCGCACCCACTGCGCCGGCGCCGCGGCCCGGCGGGGGGCGGGGGGTGGCTCCCCCCCCCCCCCCCTGCCCCTTCCTCTCCGGAGTCCCCCCGCCCCTTAGTGGCGTCACAACCCCGTGACGTGTCCCGCGTGACCTCAGCGCGGTGGAACGAGCAGGAGGGAAGGGGAGGAGGGAAGCGGAGCAGGAGTGGGGGGGTGGAGAGAAGAGCCCCAGCGCTCGCTCCTTGGTAGAATGCAGGCTGTGGAGGAGAGACAGCCCCGAGAGGGTCGTGGTCTGGCCGGCCGGGCGGTGTGGGAGGCGGCGCGCCCGCCCTAGTAAAGGGGCCCAGGGGAATAACCCGGACGGCTTGGAGGAGCTGGGTTCAAGGTTTGACTTTGCAGTTTCAATCACTGCCTCCGTGACTTTTGGCGGAGCTTCTTGCCTCAGTTTGCTGAACTATAAAATGGGAATGATGACCTAAACAGACAGAAACAGTGGCGTGGTGGCTAGAACGTCGTCCAGTTAGCACTTTGTAGGCGCTTGATAAATGCGAGTTGACATCAAAAGGAACAAAGCAGTGTGGGGCTTTTAGCTTAAAGAGCTACATAGCTGGTATTGTTATTCTACAGATGAAGAAACTGAGGCAGATTGTGACTTGCTCTAGGACATAGAAACAAATGACCTTCTTTGAAATTGGACTGCTCGAAAGGGGGAGGGAGTAAAAAGGGGTGGAAGTGAAGAATCATTGATCCTAGATTTCCAGTTGAAAGGGATCTGAGAGTCACCAAATTGTGGTGTTCAAGAGCCCCAAGAGATCATCCAGGCCAGCCCCTTTATTTTGCAGATTAGTCTATAGAAAGGTCTCTATACACTAGAGGGAATGACTTGCCCAAGGTCACAAAAGAAAGCCAGGAAAATAAAGCACAAGCCTCTTGGTTTTCCCAGACCAGTTTTCTTTCTAATAGTCAAGGAGCGTTATTAAGCACTTACTCTGTGCTAAGGAGTGTACCTTGAAGGTTTCCAAAGTAAGATTCTTAGAGTAAAACAACCTATAGTATATACACCTTAATGATAATCATTGACCTTATTTCAATATCAGTTTTTATGAAAAACAGCCCTAAATAAAGTATTGCTACAGTATGTATACATATTTACATATACATACCATAGTAATAATATATTTACATATATACTTATATTTCTCTTATTATTACATAAATGATTGCATCTTTCTTCCAAAAGCCTGCTGAGCACCCTTGTAACATTATACCCAAGCCCAGGGCTAACTAAACACAATGCATACTACAACCAAACATCCTCATAAACTACACAGTGCAATCAAACGTTTGGTCAACCCCTCACCAAAAACTGGCTAAGTCCCAGGAACTTATTATCCATATCCTACAAACACTGTAACACACACTTTAGCAACATGACAGATGCAACCTCAAGTCTGTGATGTACCTCCCTGGTCAGGCCCCCATTATGCGCTCATTGGATCAACGAATATTAAAACTGAAAGGAGCCTTCCACATCATCTAGTAATTGGTAGAAGAGGAGAAAGAAAGGCCCTGGAGGGTAAGTGGCAGAACCAGGAGTCCTCATTTCTGTATTTTTACCCACTACCTTTTTCAGCTGCTCTGATCTCAGGCCCGCCAGAGGTAATTCCCAGTCCTGCAGTGTCTGTGGCACCAGGAGGGCTAGGAGGAGGCACATTCTGACTCTCTCCCCTCCCCTGAAGGTCAGGGTTGACCTTTAGAAGAAGCAGTTACTGTTGTGTGTCCCCTGGGAGCTATTGCTCATTCAGGTGCCATTATTTATCCCCAACTTTGTTTCCTTTCCTTTCTCCAAGGCTGAAATAGAAAATAATCAATTCAACTTTTTTGGACTCTGTAGCAGACATTATGCTAGGTACTGGGAGTACAAAGGTGGGGGAGAAAACAATCTCTGACTTCAAGGAAATTGCAGTCACATGATCACTGATGTTTATACTGCACTTTTGCATGTATTATTTCATTTGAACCCCACAACAACTCTTAAAAAGTTACTACAAGTATCCCAACGTTACAGAAAACACTTGCCCAAAGTTACACAGGTAATGATCGTCAGAGATAGGATTTGAACCCAGGTTTATCCTGACTGCAAGGCCAATATATTTTTCATTATACCACATTGCCTCCCTTTAACTCAATAGAGGGGGATAGAGAAATATATATGATGCAAAATAATCATAATAGTAACATTTATACAGCACTTTATGTAGTTCTTCAACTGTTTGGCTCACAACACTGTAATGTAATTGTCTGCCTATTATCACCCCATTTTACAAAAGAAAACGAGGCTGAGGGAAGTTAGGGAACTTAATTGCCCATGATCTCAAAGCTAAGAGGTGTGGGAGCAGAGTTGTACTGGTGAACTTTTAATAACTGGCTCTCCAAAAACCCACAACATGCTTTAAATTTTAATCTGCATTAGTAACATTTTCCCCATCACTTAAGTCTAGAGTATCCACAAAACACTAAATGAAGTTCTGATTTGTAGTTTGCCAATTTCTGAGGTGTAAATTTAACACTGAAAATTTAACAATCAGCTCATGAGAGCCAGTATGAGCTAGCTCCGGCACCCTCCTGTGTGGGAGCCAGGAAATCTAGGTCTTCCTGAAACTAAGTAGTTGTGTCTACCATATCACACTGCCTCTAGGTAAAATGTGATAAAGACATTGTTGGAGTTCTTCCGTCCTGTCTGATCTTCATGGTCCCGTGGACCACTGTCCGCGGGTTTTCTTGCTGAAGATACTGGAGTAGTTTGTCATTTCTTCTCCAGTGGATTAAAGCAATCACACAGTTAAGTGTCTGAGGCCAGATTTGAATTCATGTCTATCCTGACTCCAGGCTTGGCGCTCTATTCACTAAACCACCTAGCTCCCTTCTGATAAAGGCATAGAAAAGGTCGAAACAATGTTATCCAAGAAGTAGGAGAATGGAAAGGGATCAGGCCAACTTGGTCTGTATGCAATAACTGGTGATATGTTAGCATGTTTTCACGGCAGAAAAGTGGATAATATTGCATAAGCCTGTACAAAATACCTGGAGGAAGAAGTCCACAAGTAATCTGAAAAACAATTAGTCCAGTTTGATTGGGAAAAGTGGGCTGACTTTGGAGGACTTGAAGTGCCAGGCTGAGTTTGTTTCTATTTTATCAAGCAGACAGTGACGAAGCCAATCAAATCAACAAGCATATACTGAAGATTTTTGAACAAGACATGATGACAAGTTAGACTGGAATGTTAAGAAGATTAGAGCCGAGGTCCTGTGTTCCTTCTCCTCAGATTTCTCAGGACTTTAAGTACCAGACCTAGCCACCTGGCCCGTGTCTCACTCAAGGGAGCAGAGTTGATCCAAGAAGACTACTTTTGCTCCATGTAGCCCAAAAGCCGGAAGGTGACCAAATAAAGCAAAACACTGAAGGAGTCATTTCTAAAACTGATACAGTCCTGTCTTTTCAACTTACCTGTCGAACATCTCTTCTCGAATGGTGTACTAAAACCTCAAACTCAACATGTCCAAATGTTATTCGTCATCTTCCTACTAAAAACTGGGCTAAACCACCCTAATTTTGTTATATCCTTAATATGCTTCTAGTCATCCAAGATTAAAACCTCATCGTCATCACTAACACTTCCCTCTCCCCCTACATCCAATTAAGTCCTTTCTAGTCTATCTTTAAAAACAAAGGCACAGAAAAAATATGCCCAAAGGTAGGATCATTTATTTTAGTTTATCCCAAGAGGGGTTCCCATCAGGAACAATACAAAGCTGCTCTGATCCAATCTGCTGTCCAGTCTCCTTGGTCACAATCAATTTCTGCCACTGGTTGGAGATCTTTGAGCAGGTCTTTCCCCTGATGTCCAATAGGCAGGTGATGATGTTCAGAGAGAAGGGAGAGGGGAAATATCATATATACCTACAGAATAGGCAACCACCTCAGAGAAGGGCTAACTCTGGTGCCCAGTTACCAGGCTAAATATATGGATTTGGGAGTCAATGCATAAAAGTAACAAATGAATGCCATGAGAACGTAAGTAAAATTGCCAAGGAAGAGCAAAGATAGAGAAAAGAATAGGGTATAAAACAGAAAGGTCTTGGAGGAATAGGAGAATAGTGATGAAGAATTAAAAGAAATAATCAGGCTGGAGGATATCTTGCAGAATATCATAGGAGCCAAAGCCGAGAGAGGAGATTGTGTCAAGAAGGGGGTGGGGAATGATTAACAGTGTAGTCAAGAAGGCTGAATGACTAATTACGTTCATTGGATTTTTCCTTTGTCCCAGACTTCTTCCAGGTATGACTCTTTCAAAGGGAACAGAGAAAAAGGCCCCACTACAATAAACAACATACAATAGTAACTGAAGCATTGCACTTACAAAAGAAGATGTACAGCATTTTATAAAGTTCCTGGGCTTCTGAAATGTTCTAGAACTTAATATTGAGATGACAACATAGCTAAACATTCCATCAGTGGTAGCAAGGGAAATTTCATAGTTCCCTCTGAGGCAGGCACAGGATTTAAAACAGGTTATATAACTTGTAGTCTGAGCCTTGCATGCATCACATACCCAACAGATCTGATGCCTCGGCTGATTTGAACAGCTGTTGT